TAGAAGCGGTTGCCATAAAAACAAAAAGTATAAGCACCAACTTCACAATACTTTCGGTGTACATTACACCGGATCAGAGCCTAATTAAAAACGAAGTGCTAAAAATCAAAGAAATTTTTAATTTCATCGAAGGTCTAGATGGTGAGCTGCTTGCATTTTTTTTTTGGTGCAAATGTAAAGAGGTTCGAAGGCTTGAACGTAATGTTCAATGAAATACCAGAGTTCCGGAGTGAGAGCTGTAAATCAAGGCTGTGTTATTTAATATTTATGACATACATTATTGTAGTGACGTTGTGTTTTTTAATCTAGTACGCCGATTACAATAATGGATTAAAAGAGTAGTGTCTGTCGATGGTATGAAACCAGGGTTGTTAATCGATAATGGAGAATTTGGAAACGTGGTTAACGCAGACGATATCTACGGATATCGGTTAACAACCCTGAATGACAAATATTCGTACACTACCCATAAAAGCGTATTTGTCCCACCTCTACTTGATTTCCGATTCATATCAGACAGTTATGCTTTTATGGACAGTATATTATGTTGTACATTTTTAGAATTTTGCTGTGTGCAGCGTCTTTTTGTTATAATTTTCAGTATGTGTAAAACATCCAGATAAGAGAGTCCACATTCGATAATCTGGACATTACATTGTAGGATTAGTGGGGGGATACTGTAAAGTTAACTCATAGGATTTGTAAAATTATCTGCAATTTTTGGCAGCTCAATGCAAAATGAAAACCATATGATCTAAAGCACATACTAAACTTACTGAGCTCAGGAAATTGGAGTGCCAGTTGATTGAAAAATTCTTTTTGTCTGCGAAAGCAATCCAGCATCATGTAAATACCTCCCCATCTGGTTTGTCCCCAAACCGGTGGGAAAGTAGCACTATGATAGTCAAAATGTGTCTTATATTTTACTCCTTTGCATTTTTTTGCCACACCAGTTATTTGCTTGATGGATTCGTCACTTTTGTTAACTACGTCAAGAATAGCTAATTGCAATGTGTGTACCGAGCATCTTACAAGGTTCAACTGATCCTGATGGAATTCAGTTGAAAGTGCATCGGAAAGCTCTTGGTCTTGATTGTTTTCAGCAGTCTCGGTTTCGGTTTTAGTATAGACCTCGGTTTCTGTGCCACCCAGAAGGTCTATATTTTCTAGCTGCTGTGAGACTAGAAAATCAAATTCTTTCTTCAGCCCTTTTACAGCTGCCAGCATATTTGCTCTATTGTCGCATGTTACCGAAAATATTTGCTTAACAGTAACTCCGTATGTCTGAAGAACCTCTTAAATTTTAATTTTCAAAAAAGCTGCCGTTTGTCGTTCTTTTATCGCAATCATGCCTGGAATGGTAACATGGAAATACAAGAAATTGTAAGAATTTAATATTAAAGTACTTCAAATAAATACCATGAAATATATTACATTTAACAAAATTAAGTTCATTCAAAAGAGAATGATAGCATTTACTAACTAGTTTAAGTTTAATTCAGGATAATCAAGCATAAGATTTATTTCATGGGTATAATCTACAAGTGAACACATAACTGTCCCATGTGTATAGGATGCTCTATTGAAAATAGAACAATAATTATGCTTCCGCTGGCTATAACATAACTACTCACTACAATTTGATTTTACAACTATTATGGTTTTAGCACATACCAAGTGATTAAACCGTATGGTATATGGTAAAACTATAGCAGTTGTACTACCACATTGCAGTATGTATTGGCTCCATAATGTACCTGAATGAAACATCCCACTAATCTCTTTGTTTCAACGCTATGTTAACACTCACCTAATGTCCGAATGACGATTTTGCTATCCAAAAAATACTGTACATTTATGCCGAGAACGTGTCGGTTGAATCGTGATGCTGAATCAACTTTCAGTGAAATCAACCTGTTCTTCAGTTCATCACTTAAAGCCTTACGAATTTGATCAGTGACGGAGTGCGTAATTATCTTTACATCGTTTCTGTTTACTGTTACACCAAGTGCAGCAGATATTGGGTCCATGAGTTGTTTCATCCCTTCCCACTCTACGAAGCAAAGAGGGAGTTGATGGTAGGTCAATAATTTGACAATACAGTCCATGTACAGCGGCATATCAATGGCTATGGATCGTTTGGACACCAGTCTTGGCTTCTTGGCGCTAGCATCAGTTTCTTTCAGCAAGCTACATTTATTCGCAGCATCTGTATGCTTTGTGCGGAAATGACGGATAAAATTACCGACATCCATAGTCATTTGGACGTAGGTACATCCGCTGCTCTCTTCAATACGACATATACCTTTGTTGCCTTCCCGATGAATAAACGATAATGCAATTTCCTGGAGAGGGCGCTTGTTGTCATCGCGTCGTTGTTGTCCTTTTTTAGATGATGGACCTGCTTCTTCCATTATTTCGGATGCAGAATCAAACTCGTCTTTCTCAATTATAAAATTTCACCACCAGAGATGAATATCAACTTTGCTTGTCTGATTATCACTTCAAACCATTGACAGTAAGAAATATCAATGATTGTAGGCTTTTGAAATTCATTAAATGAATTATTCATTCATGTATCATTGACATGACAGAAATGATGTTGTGCGTCACCAGAAGAAGAGTCATCCCACACTGAGAAAAGAATAATTTCTCCTTTCGTGAATAAATAACGATAACCTAAGGCACTATGTGGAAGCGTATCTAGAACACTAAGAGCACGCAATAAACTTGAAAAGCGAAGAAGAAGAATACGATAATACGTAAGCCTATAACAGTACATAGTTGAGGCAACTTGTGTGTGACTTATTTCAGCCACAATCAAGTTGCCATATATTTCTGCCACAGCTTTGTGCTGCTTGGGAAAGGTATTGCCGAAGCCGACTTTTACCTTATTATATCTCTCTTCTTAAATTCTTTTAGCGGCGTTCGACAATTCTTTTCTAATTTCTAATAATTATCAGAAATGTTTCCCTAGTTTATTTTTTACTATGGTCCCCATGGTAACTTGTTGATTCGAGACTACAGGTACTCTAGGATAAAGCAACCGAATCACGCCATAGAAAATCCAACCCATGTCATCACACTGTCATCATAATGTAATCTAATCTATCGAATACCACCTGAAACGTAGTCAAAGAAAAGGAAAACACTACCAGGAAATCACGTTAACGAGTTGTGGACCGACTGCCTTTCTCGAGTCTCAACCTCCATGCCCGGTGATTGCCTATCAACAGAGCAGCGCAGCCCAAAAAGGCATATTGCCCCGAAAAACATACGCATCGCACAACATTAGATCATAATTTTCATCAATCATTGTCATTAGATTGCTTTTATTGGAAAATAATACCAGACCGCTGCTGCTCGTGGAGTCAGTTCCTGTGCTGGTACTCACACCATGGATGTCAAAGAAAGCTCAGCTTCGGTATGTATCACTGAAATTGGGAAAGAAACCCCCGGGACAGGAATCCCGTTTCTTTTGCGCTTAATGGCTTTCGGCCAAATATGGAGGAAACCTGACTGCTGTTGTTTAGCTGCCTTCACCACGTACCATCATGGTGGCAGCCCCGTTGTGCGTTGTCGTTGCAGGAACAATGAAAACAGATACTTTATGACCCCATTTTCACGGTGTCATTTCCTTCCGTGGTGCTGGTGGTGGTGGTCGGTGGTGGTACACGGTAGCATATCAGGGAACGAGAGATAGGACAAAAAATGTAACCGGAAAAGCTTCAACAGCCAGCTTAAGCAGGAAGCGAGCATTGCGGGAAAGGAAACGAGGAAAAGCTGATTGTTCGATTCATTAAATCGTGAAATAGTCGTCGGTCTGATTGATTTTATCGCTCGAACGATTCGACTTCATTAAATCGAATCGGTTTGGATAGGTTTTGCAGTTCTGCGATTAACTGCAGGATAATTTCGCGATGATAGAGGGGGCTTTATGACGGTTTAGAGCGTTACGTGTACTGCCATCGGTATAATAAAAAAAAGCGGATAACGAAAGACGAGTGTCCTACAAGGCTACGAAAATCGATCAATATGAATTAAAAATATCCAATTAAAGTGTCATTCGTTGTTGAAGCAAAAGGTGTTTTTTTGGCGCGAGACCAAATTTTGGTTTTTACCTTTTGTTTCTTGTGAACGTCAATCCAACACAATGCTGACGTATGTCGATTACAGTTGATAGTTTGGAAAACATGATGGTTTTGCGACTACTTCTGTTTAGGATTGATGTCCCTAATGTCGGCCTATGTGTCCCTGATATGGGACTGATCAGATATTATCATTCTTTTATTTACTAAATGCAGACTTGAGATTTTTTTTTACAGAATTAAATAAGTAAGAAGGGCTAAGTCTCACCATAGGTGGATACATTCAAAAGTTTCATTAGCATCCATTTGTATTGTCCAATGCGTCATGATCTTAGAAAACCAAATTGAGCTTTCAATTTTCTTTATAGTCGAAAGTGTTTCCAATCTACGGTAAAGCCCTTTAAATCAGCCTAAAATCCATTGGATCGATTGGATTTTCATAACGAACAAACTCAAACAGTAACCACTTGTCGAAATACGATAATCAATTTTGATGGCTCTGAAGATGCCTTTATGATCAACATGTACCATTATCGTAATGCTTGTAGCTGTTTTCAGTGTTTACCGTTCTGGTAAACGTGTTACTCAACCAATTTTCTGCGAAAGCTGCTTTCGCCTGGGATGATAGCTATGATCCGCATCAACAAACCCTATCGCAGAATTTCCAACAAAGAGCATAGTTCTCAAAATTTCGCAAAGCGACGCCACAATGACGACCGATGGTTGATGCTTCCGTCCATGATTCTAGGAATGCTCCAAGGTATGCTTTGGCAAAGTGATGTATGTTGTCAGTTTGCATGACACGATGGGTGGGACTTAATTAAACTTATTAAATTAGATAGGTGGCGTACTCCGTTGTGACCTCACCTCCAAATGACATCAGTGTACAAAAGTGGGAAAATCTTACCTGTCATCGTATACGAATCCAGCGCTGAGGGTGTTCACGTACAGGACGAATGCCAGCGCACAGCAACTGAGGCTTACGTAATCCATGCTGCAAAGACAAAGAAAGAAAGAAAACGGGGTTGGTTATTCAAATATCTGAACTCGAGAGGCTTGAAATTGGAATGACGAACTATAACACCCGCACTTATCGACAAAAGCGCTACACTCAATCAAACTTTTTATCTTCCTCCTACGTCCTAGTGATGGCAAGCCAAGCTGGGATCCAGCCTGGATCAATTTTCAATTTCCACTTCAACTTTTCCACTCATTTGAAAAGTTCAATCCCCTTTCGGTACCGAGGGAACAAAAAGCCCCCTCCCACAGCCAGCACAACTCCGTTATCTGATCTTTTTCACTACCCTACATTTCCTCATCCCTGTTCCAAATTACAGTAATTAAATTCTATTTGAAATTCGATTTATGCTATAGTTCACCAATACTTTGACCCTTTTCGCATCGGCCCAGTTTTTGCCGTCCTCCCCAGAGAGAACGCTCCACTCGTCCACAACTCAAATTCAGTCATTAGTTTCAGATAAATCGATAAACACCAAATTTTCCAGCTGGGTTCAAACGGCTACGGCGATGTCCGGGTGGAGGACAAAAAACCGGGGTCTCCTTTCAAAAATGGTCCGATTTTCCATTTGCTGCGCTATTCAGATAAGGGGCAAGTTTTACCACCGGCCTACATGTGTACCGTCGTCGTCGTTGTCGTCGTTCGTCCACTTTTATCCCCGACCGAGCAATGACGGTTTGTGCATAGGTATGTGTGTCTGTGATGATGCCTATCGGGCCGGTTGTCTATCCGTTCGTACCTTCACGTGCATATAGGATGATCACAGGAGCAGGTCTGGTGCAGATTTTGGACTCTAAAATTTGGCCAAGGCGGGGGGGGGGGGGGCGGGGAGTGGGTCAGCAGGCTAATTGAAGGGGTGGCTCGCTTTACTCGTTAATTTAGCCGAACGCTGACTGCTTTGAAGTGCTGCTTGCGGTTGCTTTTGGCATCTCGATGATGACGGTTGTAGCCGTGGGTAGATGAATCGGAACTCGACGGTTTCAGTGATTGAGGACTCGGAGTTCAGAGTGGATTTTTTTTTTGACTGATTACTCTAGAGGTTATCCAGAGTACTCTGTTGGAATTGATCAAAGTTGTACTGGAAATCATTCTCTAAGAATTTGTATAGCTTGCTAAAATTTCTTGAATTAATTTTCAACGAACGACGATAAAAATTTAAATGAATATGTAAATTGAAGCTTTAATTAATTGAAATTAAGATATTTAAAAATCTGCTTCAGTTGGTAGTTGATATTTACAAAATATGTTTATCTATGTATGCTTCTAGAAATTCTCCTCTCACAAGCACAAATGGACTGAATGGTTTGAGCTGCATCCATAAATTTTTACTCGAAATGGTCGCATAATCCTCTTAAAACTTAGAAAACGCTACCCAATTTTTTTCATTAAATTTCAAAATCAAACAGCCACACAAACTCAAACTCCAGAACCGATAGTCCACAGTTTCAAGAATGAAATCGCATGTTTATCGCTATATTTTTTCGGTCCTGATAGCCTTCCAAGAAAAGGGGAACTCTTCGAACCGCAAAAAATGTGAACCGTGTGCATATGGTGTCCGTACGTGAAATCGATTCGAGCCATCCATCGTGAGCAACAATTCAATTTTCCCCTAAACAAGAGCTACCCAGGTACTTCAACTCAACCCGTTTTCCTTCGTAGAGACGCTAGTTATAGCACGAGTTTTGGGAAATAAATCCATCACCGGTTGGTTCTATTTTCGTCTCAGCGTTCCATGCTTCCAACTTGATTGTACAGCCATCACGCATTCTAACCACCCTCTGTGTATTTTTCCTCTTCTTCATCGTTATTGGTTGACTTTCTGATCCCTGAGAACCCTGTTCCCAAAGGACGCCGCCATCCTTTGTCGTCCTTTTGCCTTCATATCGCACACATCCAGTGAAGCTGCTGTGTTGCCGATCCGGTGACGGCGACGGCGGTGACGTGGGAAATAAATTATGTCCCGTAACAAACTTTTCAAAGTGAAAGAAGTCCGGAGAAATTGCCACACGGTTTTGGTTGATCCCTAGAGGCGGACACACCCCGTAGCCAAAATTGACTCTGAGGTGAACTCCATCACCGGACTTAAAGACGTGCTTCTTAAATTCGTTCTGTGAACTTTGCCTGACATCGGGGATGTTCAAATTCCGGGAAGATTACCTCGGTGCATTTCCAATCTTCATGCACCCACATGTTAACCTTTTCGACGATACATAGTTAGTGGAAATATATCATGTATTTCTCCCTTGCGCCATTGCCATGAAGTAACAATAATTGGCTGTGACGCGTGACGTGATACCGAAAGCTTGTCTGTTATGTTATAGTATTTTTTTGCGTGTATAACACAATTATACTATCATGGAAACCCTGTTTCTCGTCGTTTCGAAGCTATGCAACTCTGACACTAATGAGCTCTTATTACAATCCGGCTTTTTGGATTCTGATAAATCGACCTATTTTCGATCTTCCAGTAGCAGTGCACAGTAAAAAATATATGGAAATTGCTGGCGACTTAATTTGGAAAGTAATTCAGTTAATTATATCGTAATGCAATATCGCACACAATTTTGTGTTTGAAAAGACGTGGGTTATAAACAAACGAGTGAGAGTAGAGAATTGATTTATTTTGTTCTTAGTTTTAGAGGATCAAATTAATTTTCACTGGAACAGAATTTAAATTATCGTCACTAATTCTAAATTCAACCATATACGATAGTGTTTTTAAGACCGCAGCTGACTCGCAAGCTCGCTGATCTCATTTTAAGAAGAAGTTTGTGGGGTCTGAAAGAATTCGGAAGGATTTCTTGAGCGAATATAGAACCAATTCTGAAGATAAATTAATGGAAAACTATACAGAAATCATATCGATTCTAACTCTGAAGATTGCTCTGAAGAAAATTCTGAAGAGGAAAAAACTGTATAGGATAATTTCCAGGAATTTCATAACACCATTCAAAGGAGCATTCCAAGGGAATTCTAAGAACAGCTAAAACAAAATTCCTAGGCAATTCTTATACCTTCTGAAAGAATCATGATCATTTCTGTGAGATATAAAGCTCATGGAGTTAACGCTAGAATTGGTGTTCTTTCAGCCAACATATGTTCATTATTAAATGAGGGGGTAATTTCGCATCGTGCTCTCTTGCCGTGCAGATCTATTTGCTTTTTGCTGACGGAAGTTTTACTACTACCTAAAGCTACAACAAATTTAAACAGCGCTTTTCAGAGCTAAATATTACCCGCACATTTTCTACCTAGTTCTATCCTTATTCCTTTTCGATCCTTGTTAGGACTCTACCCGAGGTAATCCTGCTTGGATATCGATTTGGACTATTTCTCGTCGATCTTATAGAAATCTGCTTGGAAGTTGATTTTGAGAAACATATTATCCTGCCGCCATAGTTCCAAAACGCAAAAGAAAAGGGCAAGCTCTTGATCCCACTTCTTATGGAATTTATTTGAGCAATCAATTTGATATGCTCACGGATGATGAGAATGATCCATCATCCAGGCCAAATTCCATTAAGCATTCCTGGCTTAAAGCCCAAAATGGAAAAGGTCCCCCCTATTGTGATAACTACTTCCGATTTCCATGCTCTTTGCACGGAACTTTTTTTTTTCTTGATTTGTTTTCCGTCGATCTTGTTTTCCGTGCTGAGCACCAATGATACCGACGCCAGGGAGGCAGCTCCCACACCTGGACCCTACCTATCGACCCAACAACTCATGAACCGGGAACCAACGGCTTTACTTCCCTTCCGAAGGTAGGCGTGATCAGAGATGTTTTGCCTCACAACATCCCGGCGGCGCCGACTGGGATTGAACCCAGGCTTGCTGGGGTGAGAGGTAATCACGCTTACCACTACACCACGCGGCTGCAATGCCGACCGGGAAACGAACTCGATCAGACAGACCGACGCTCAGTTGGAGTCTAAGAAGCTGCTGGTGAACAACCGTTACGCCATATAAGAAAATGGCGATGAACCGAAGGTGGTAAGGAAGGAGAAACTTCCGCCGTTCTTTGTGAAGGGATTTCCGTACGTCTTAACCGATCCTATTGACTTTTACATTAGTAAAGGCCTCCAAATTACCATTCGCTTGTGCATGGCGATGAAACACTACAAGGCGGTTCAAGCCATGCTGGACAAACTAAAGGTAGACTATTTCTCCCATGATCTCAAAGCTAGCAAGCCGCTCAAGATGGTGCTGCGTGGCCTCCCGGACATGGACACCGAAACACTGTCGGATGAATTGAAGGCGAACGGCCTCAAACTGGTGCAAATTTTCAAGACTCGTCATGACGCCACTCATAAGTACCATGATCAGCTGTATCTGTTCCACCTCAAGAAGAATTAAACGTGCATGAAAGATCTGCACAACGTTCGAGCCCTACTCCACATCGTGATGAAATGGAAATTGTACAAGCCAGTCCATTGCGACGTCATTCAATACACGAACTGTTTACTGTTCGGGCATGGAACCAAAAATTGCCACATGGCCAGTCGCTGCATCAAATGTGGCGAAAACCAAAACTCCAGTGCATGCGAGATGATAGAGAAAACTGGTTCCATATGTGCCAACTGTGGGGCAGCACACCGGACCACAAACAAGAGCTGCCCAAACGAGCGGAGTTCGTCGCAATCCGTAAAAAAGGTTTCCACAAGCAACCAACCAGGCCACAGAAGGGTACCAGAAAACAACGGGCAGAACTTCATTTCCATTGACCAACGGCGGCCACTCAACAACCGATTGGCTGCAGCTGCTACATTGGTCTCATTAACCGGTGGGGTGCCCAACCCTTCGTCAAATTCGAGTCGTCAAACGTATGCGGCAAGCGCTGTACTACCCTCTCCTTCCGGCATTATCAAAGCGTCACGATGATGCACCACCACCGAACGAAAACATAGAAGCAACTCATCTCCGTATTTATCCAGTTTGCCACACGTTTCAGCAGTTGTAAAACCCGTTACGACCAGATT